CTATCGTGATGGTGTATCCTGATCGTGGTGGCAGCTGATCGTGGACTATGATTACAACAAGACTGCCTGATATACAATATGTCTCAGATACTTTTGACAATAATTCCTCCATTAATTTACCTTCCATTATGCAACAAACTATTTATTCTAACCAATGCTGTAAATACTGATGTTCTCTATTACACATGGCATCTGTTGCTCTTCTGTCCGTCCTGGAAGAGGGATCCCTCACATGTGGCTCTCTCTGAGGTTTCTACATTCTTTTTCCCTGTTCAAATGTTTTTTATGTAGTTTTTCCTTACTCTTGTTGAGGGCAGAGGATGTCACACCTTGTTAAGCCATATGAGACAAGTTATGATTTGTCAATATGGGCTATACAAATAAAATTTGATTGATTGATTGCTTGAACTTGATTTTGTGAATCACTGCATATCACTTTTGGCTCGGTAGAAGAATTAGTGAGAGGAGCACATTCATCATGGTAAAACCAAGCCACTGTCTTAATACAAAGAGTCAATATTGGTATTTGAGATATAATCCTAGCAGATACAAGACTTGTTGGCAAGAGATTTTACATTGGATAAGCAGAAGTTAGCTAATTCAGTGTCAGGGATTTATGGTTTTAACTGTGATATTATTATTTCTGAGTGGAGGGTTCGGTCATGCATGCTGCTGCATCAACCAGCAGGACCCACACAATCTGAGACAGCGCAGTGAGTACAGATCTTTCCAGGGTCTCACCAGGGAAACACAAATGATCTGCTAATAGCAATTACGTAAATACAATTCCAAATTAATGGACTTGTTCATCTGTAACCCATCATGTTTGAAGCAAACATTTGGTTCAAAAGGAGCCAAAGTTATTAGCAAAACCAAATGCAGCAGCAGTGGTTGAACATTTCATCAATTGGGCGCAGACTGAAATGGGCTTAAACATTTAGAGCTCTTTGTCATAGTGGGTTAGGGATCAGGCAGGATACATCTACTCTTTCAACCCTGGGGGCCAAGGTCATAGTGCAGGTTAATTAATTGTCTGGACATGTCATTGCTGTGCACTATCACAGTTTGGACTGAGGGATAGATGATTCCTAATCTGGAATTAGTTCAATAAAATCAGTTGGCTTGCCTTCTGAGTGAGTGGATGCAACAGGGATCTTTACGAATCTGGTGATTGAATCTCAAATTTCAGGTTGCTGCACTGTAAAACACTTTGAGTGGTCATTGAGACAATACAAGTGGTAAGTAAATTAACCATTCAAACATTCCTCATTATTAATGAGTTGAGCGAATGATCAATTATCCATTCTGCAACTTGCACAGGTGGAAGCAGAGGTAGTGGCAGGTGGGTGTAGTAGAGGAGAAGAAGTTACTTGGGGCTGGATTGATGAAGGGTAAGACAAGGGCGAGCCATTGGATAATGTGAAACAGGCACATCTGATGGTAGGTTGAAAAGGGAGGACAACAAGCTATTCAGGAAGTTCAGCTCTCCATAGGAGAAAAGTTAGTGAGTGGCATGTCACCACAGCCAACACCATCTTGTTTGGTTCAATGGTTGTTTGTTCCTCAGGGCATTTAAAGAACACTTACAACAACCTCAAAATATAGTTGATTTGTAATTGTCTGTGATTAAAATATATAAATCTGTTCTATAGGTCATACTGAAAAATATCAACCAACCTTTGGCATTCCTTCAAAGACGTGATGTACTGACAGCAAACCCTGTGATGCTGGTGGTGGACAGTGATCATAGTGTCGAGCCTGACTCGTGCAGCAGGTTTCAGTCCCAGCTGGTGTTGTTAGGAAATGAGACATTAACATTATCTGTGATGTATCATTGATATTCATAACACTAAGCTGGCCCCAACTGATGATGAGCCACAGACACACATTCATGACTCTGCTGGTTGACTTAAACACTAAGATTAATAGCACAGGCCAGTGTTCAGACTTAAATTACCTTGAGTATATTATTCAACAATGGAAATAACTCAGCACCTTGTCATGTATATAGCAGGTAGTTCATTCCTCTTCTAGCTTTCAGGTTTCACAATTCTGTTGCAGAATATCTGTTAGTTTGGTGAACCACAGCCTAATTCCTCTCAGTGAAAGTGTTATTTAAAATGACTATGTCACTCTATGGCCATAGCTTAGAGAGAGGGACTGTCAGTTTTTCTCTGGGAGAAGGAATAGATTATTATGTAGTTAAAAAAAGGACACAATCCATTGGATGTGCTTTCAGAGATTTGAAAAAGTTCTAAACAGCATACAAAAAAATCAGAGTTAGCGGCTAACATCAAACTGAAAATGCATATTTTGCACCACAACACTACTTGCTAATGTTTTAATCTATGAGTAATTTGTACAATGCATTAACCTTCCACCATTGTTCCCTGAGTTCATTCAGTTATTAACAGTGTGGGATTAAGGTCAGCTGCTGAAATAATTTTGACAAGCTCTCAGTGTTTGTCATTCAGGGGATGAGAAAGATTTTAGTAACTGGTGAATACCAGAAAGAAATAGATTCAAAATTGAAATTTTGTGAGAAATTGAGACCTTTTTCTTGACAAACTGTCAGAGTGGAATGACTGATGTCAGTGACAGATGGAGGGCTCTCTCACACTCAGTCTGCACAGACAGTGCAGTGAAAGCACAGCAGGAGCAGGATCTTCCGTCCTGTGTTTTCACACCACTTTGCAGCCCCGGTAAATCTGCCTCTGGTTTGTTTTCCCTCTTTGCTGAATTAGTTTGGGTGTCGATAGTTGTGCCACTTCTTCTTGGTTTTCCAGGTGTTTCTTTGCATGCGGATACAATGTGGACTTAAGATCTACAAAGAATTGCAATCAAAGCAATGAACAAAATAGTCAAACTTAAATAAATTAAAAATGAACCAAATGAAAATAAAAGTAAATAATTATCTACACCAATTTCAAATATTGTTGATCTTAATTCATTTTGTAAGGAATATTGCTGATATTTTGTGCACTCCAACTCTTAATTATTTACCTCTCTGAAACGTACTCAGAGCAATACAATAGAACATCTAATCTCAATGAAGATTGTAGTATTTCAAACAATAATTCCTGTATATTCCATTGTTACTTTATCAACACCCTCTTTCAATGATCCAACCCTGATTAACGATCAACACTCTTCCCTCTAGCAATAATCTGACTACCTCTTATCCATGACCTTAAAACTTCCGCCTATTCCATCCGTTCATTTTACCATAGAAAAGATCATTTGGACCCCTCTATGCATGTAATTATATTTTTTTGGAGAACTCACTGGACAGCCCCAGTTTTTATATATTATGGTTGTGTGCTTTCATCGTTGTCGGTGGATCTGGTGTCAGGTAAATGTATTCTCAACAGGGGGGCCAGTCTCTGCAGTGTTGGCTACAGCATCCCTGCTGTGCAACACTACTGAAGGCCTCACTTCCTACCTGATAAAAAAGGCTACCTGCAATACAATATAGGCTAAATATGAGTTTTAAATGCAGTTTAATACAGTTGTCTGCATGGTTGTGTTTATAGCTCCTTGAAGTTTAACTGTGACTCAAAGTGTTTTTATTTTTATTAATACTGCATCTTTTGTGTTCTATTTAATATATGTAAGCTCACAGCAGCGAGGCATCTGGCCTGATATTCAACAACTTTGTTATTACAATTCATCTTATGTTGTGTTCTGATATAAATGTTGTGAGTCAGTTTTGTGTTGTGGAGGATTTGTCATTGCCTTTGTTGCTGCTTCAGTTCACATAGGTATAGGTACACAATGGCTCTGCTGTGGCTCAGTTTAGGTGTGTAGCGACTCCCCACACTCTACTATCATTCTTTTGTACGTTGAAGAGAGCAATGGTGTTATTTACATTTTAGATGCAGAGATATACAGTGTATTGGCTAATTGCTACTATCATAGAAAATCTGTTGACCTTTTGTGTTGACCTATCAGCCAAACTATACAATAGTTTAATGTAGTGGCTAATCACTGCCTTTTTTATTTGTATTTTCCTAACAATGTGTAAAGGTCTTGGCAGGGCTGTTGAAGGTTGTTTCAGTGGACAAGAAGAGTTATCCATAGTGTTGGAACTAGCTGTTAATCCAGAACCTTGCTCCTAGCCAGAGATGTAAAATAACAGTAAAATAATAAGTATCAATACTTTCTAACTAGTATATTTCACCAGGTTCTCATACTTTCTTTGATAACCTTTACTTTGCTATGTTTTCAGAATAAAATAGTTTCTGATAGGTTTTAACTTTACACCTTACCTACAAAAGAAAATCTTGTAACCCCATTGTTTTTTTGTGGACGGTTTTCAAAGTCGAGGTAATTAAAAAAAATGTTTACTTTGTTTTCAATGAACTATTTGTAATTCATGTATGATACAGATTTTCTTTGACCTTTGAATTGTGAAAAGATAGTTTGCTCACAACTTTCTTCTAATTTTGTGAGACTTAAATTTACCATCTTTTTCATCCATCCATTCATGTCTCCTGTTTATAGAGACGACTGCGTCACATCCAATGTGTGCCAACTCTAAAAGGTGGCAGCTAAATGGAAATGCAAGGGAGACACACAGTGGACATATCCAGCCAATTCACTAAGCTGAACAGGTTTTTCACTGTGGCCCCCTTTGGTGTGTTGGTATAACAGACAAATGCACTCCATTTTTTTCAGTAGCTTGCACATTGAACTTGATTTCATTGTTTGTCATATTTATCATGGTGACTATCTTAAAATGAATGACTGCTTTCTGTTCAGCAGAGGACAAATCACATTTTCAAATTGCTGATCATCATAACTCTTATTTTGTCTTAACTTACTAAATATCGCTTTAGGTATTATGCTATTGCTTTGGTTGAGTATCTGCACAGCTGACACAGCTGACTGAGCAACTCTGACAAACATTGTAAACCAAAACAATTCAGAGGATAAATCCATCATGGGACTAATGTGAGCGATTCATAGAAACTCTGAACATTTTCCAGGTGGAACAGTAATTTGTGTCTAATTTTTATTCCCATTTAAAACAGTTTACAATTTACTTTTTGAAATTTTCCAAGATCGCGCCAACTCCAGAATATGCAAAAACAGCCTTGAAGTGTCAAACTCTGCACATTCATCAGTCTGCACAGAGAAAGACAAGCAACCAAGTGATGTAACAGTAAGCTAAACACATTTCCTGCAGAGGTGGACTTTAGTCCCGTTGATCGATCAGGTAAAAATCATGACACTACCATGATAAAACAAATCTTTTTAGATTGCACAACTATGGAAATTGAGTTGTTTGTTGTAAAATTCCTACTTATTCCAGGTCTGCCTCTCTAAACTTTAATAACTGTTCCTCCCAGTCATGCCCCGCGCACTTTTTAACACTGCAAATTTCCTCAAACTTTATTAGCATTTCTTTTCAGCTGATTGTCCTTTAATGTTTGACACTGATGAATATCGACTTTCAGTATATTGATCACACATTATCAATACAGTCACTGAATTTGCAGCTTAGACTGTATAATGCATGCATACAGTATATAATATATGTATATTAACGATGGCCATCCTTGGTCTCATAAGTTCCATTCGAGCTTATATCGAGCGCTATAACAAATTAAAATGTCTGCATTGAAAATGTTTGCATTGGTATTAATTGGTAAGGCACCTCTGGTGATTAACCAGTCACTCATCATCCTCATATAGGACTTCATCAATGTTCACATCATTGTCATCGACAGGGATTTCCTGGCACAGCTGCTCTTTGAAGGCCAAGGCGATGGTGTACGGCTTTCCTTTAGGGTGTCTGATGCAGCGTTCCAAGTAGGTGTCATAGTAGCCCTTCCCCCGTCCCAGACGCTTCCCCATTTTGTCAAAACCCAGGCCTGGCATCAAGATTAGGTCCAGACCTCCTGGATGATGAGAGCAAACAGAGTAATCAGTGATAGAGGTCTGCCTGCCTTTGCCTGTGAATAATGACAGATATCAGTGTCCAAGATATGACTGTACACATTTGATGTCTACAGATATTTCAGATCTTAAGAAATATTAAGACTAAAAATTCAACTCCCCAAAATACAAATTACAAAAGCAATTTGGCAACAATTATTTGTTGGACACTTCCACCAACAGGTCGTGGTTTCAGTAGGTTCTCTGCTCTTTGCACAGTGTTGTTGTCTGGCCTGGTAAGACACTTATCTTTTTTTTTCCATTTACACTCCAGTGCCCTGCGGTCTTGCCTTACCCTCAACAGGTTATGAAGATACACTAGGGCTGAACTTAGATTTTTGCTATTCTAACACTGTTCGACTGAGTACTGTGATCAGTTCTTAAGCACCCAGGCAGCAGGGAGGGTTTATCAGAGGGGAGGAGAGGACACCTGAGAACTGGCTCGCAGAAAGAGTAGTCCAGGAAAAGTTTCCCTGGCAGACTGGCTTTAAGAGTCTGGGGGGGCATTGAGCTAAAAAATACAGTGATCCAACGAGCAGATAATCCTACACTGGAATGCGATGTGTTGAAGTAAGGGTCAAGAGTATGACCATGTGCATGAGAAGAACCCTATCTAGCTGCATACGATTAAGAGTCAATTAAATACCAAGCAAGGTTAAGTATAACCAGATGTTTGAACTTAGTCAAACGCAGTCACGCCAGTCACACCTTGGAAATTGATGCGTGTTTATTTCAGGTGTTACAGTACAGGTGCAAAGGCACAAAACAAAAATTGTATGTCTTATTCTGGATGTTTGATTTGATGTATGACTTTAAGACTTTATTATTGAAATGGAATATTATATGTAAGCTCAATCTTCATTATTCATAATGTGCCCCACCTGACTCTGAGGGTTATAAGATAAAAAATGTGTTAAATCTTCAGTCATTTTGTCTGTGGTCTCCCATGTTTTTAAAATTGGGACTTGAAAATCCTCTAGTGTGCACCAGGCTTTGAAGATTGTCTTTGATAAATATTTTAAAAGAGCAAGTTATGAGCACCAAAATGAAAATTGAGCTGGTTATTTTTTTTCTAAATTTCAACAGTAAAGTTACTTGAAACTTTACATACAGACAGTGGAGGTCACCAGGAACAAGAGTGAGATCTAACAAGATTTAAAAAAAAAAAAATTTAATAATCAGAAATACAGACAAGAGGTCAGAATACAAAATATAATGTAATGTGTGTTGTGGAAAAGGTTGTGTGCATGCATGTGCTCGTCTTTATATAGTTATGAGGGACTATTTCAAAGTTGTGAGGACATTTTGGCTGGTCCTCACAATTTCAAAGGGCTGTTTGAGTGTTAAGACTTGGTTTTAGGGTTACTGTTGGTTTTGATGGTTGGGGTAAGGGGCTCACAGCTGTGTGTGTGTACATGCATACCTGCAGCCAGTGCTTCCTCTCTGCTGTTGTCATCTTCAGCAGGCTGTCGGATGTTCCAGGAGGTCAGGGGCAGCGTCTCCATGTCCTGCAGACTGGTGAGCTGCAACATGTCCATGTGGCTGCAGCTCCTCTCATATCTAGGGATGAAGCAGCTTTTTCCCCATTTGAACACGTCTCTGAGGATTTCCTCTGTGTGCACTTCATCATGCATGCTGAGAAACACTGCAATCCTCTTACAGGACACATATTTGGGGTGTCGGAACAGCTGGAGGAAAGACATAGGAGGGGAAAGTAGGAATCAGTGACATTGTCAGAGCCCAGGAGCAGGGCTCGGATAAACAAACACATTACCATGTCCATCTAGCTTCCATGATAGATTCATATATAAAGCTTTACTCTTGTTTTTAAATAACTAGAGCTTGAACGATTAGTTAAATAAACATTGTGAATAACTTTTTTAATTATTAATCAGTCTGTAAAGACATTTTAGCCAATACCCAAGGCCGTGAGTTGGGAAACACTGTATTGAAGATCTCCCCCTGGTTGGAGAGTGTCAGTGGGGGATAAGAACTACGTGTCTTCAGTATTACTTGGACACAGCTTACAGTCTTCTCTGAACCATGACGTCCTTTCATTTCTCCCTCTCACCTTCTGTGAAACCACCAGGGACTGTCGTCGCTTCTCCTCGTCACTCAGCGCTGCTACCCGGCCCTTGACCGCCCTCCTCAGCGCCTGCTTGGCCGCTCGCAGGGCAGCCATTAGCTCGGTAAAGTAAACCGTTTCGACATAGTGCTGCGCTTCATGCAACTTTAGACAAGTTAAACATTGACAAGGGTAACAACGTTCGACTAGACACTACTGCCACCTATCGTAGTGGAGGATGTACTCTTCTTCTTCTTCTTCTCCTCCTTCTTCTTCTTCTTCTCCTCCTCCTTCTTCTTCTTTTTTTTTACCTAACGTTAAAGGTGCATTACCGCCACCTTCAGGATATTAAAAGACCCCCATCACCCCAGCAACAAACTCTTCTGTCTGCTTTATATACAGTCAGACGGTACCTCAGCATCCGGACCAGGACATTATATAATTCATACACACAACGAACTATATTTATTTATTTAGTTTACAATAATTCTCATTCTGTCATATCTTTCTATTCATCATATTTCTAACCTTACATAAAAATATAAAGAAGTGCAATAATTCATATCTGTTCATACCTCCCCATAACTGCTGCTAAATCCTGACTGCACATGTATATATTTCACTTTGGCACTTTATAATGTTTTATTATAATGTTTATTGGCACCTTATAATGTTTTTTTGGTTTTTTTGCACTAGTTAATGACATTTGTACTTTCTTGTTTATTTGCACTTAGTTTCTTCGAATGTTTCTATATCTTAGTCTAGGTCTATTTGCCCATTTCCCATCTCAAGTACTGAAATTATTCCCATTTAGCTTTACTTAATATCCAATTTATTTATCTTCATGGGCTATGTGTATGTTACTGAATACTGGGTAGTGATCACTTCCAATTCTTGATTCTTCCGATACTTCCCACTCATATTTCCCTGCCACATACTAAATAACTATCCTCCAATAGTTGTTCTATTATCTCCCCATTTACAGCACAGCCAGGGCTGACCATCAAATACCGCTACAAACTGAACGTTAGGAGCACTTCTCCAACTCAAACCCCCGACGTATGTGGCAAGGTATCCAGGTTATTCCCCCCCGATAGCACCTTCCTCAACAAGCTCAACAACTTCTACGCTCGATTTGAGAAGGACAACAAAGAACCTGCGACCATGGCAGAGCTAGCCGCTGACCACCAACCCCTATCATTCTCTTCCTCTGATGTTAAAACAGTGCTGAGCAGGATCAAGCCACGCAAAGCTGCAGGCCCTGGACGAGTTCTCAGGGCATGTGCTGGAGAGCTGGCGGGAGTTCTGACAGACATATTCAACATGTCCTTTGCCCATGCTGTTGTGCCTACCTGCTTTAAAACCACCTGCCAGTGCCAGTACCAAAACACTCCACTCCAACGTGTCACATTGACTACCACCCAGTAGCACTCACCCCCATCATTACAAAGTGTTTAGAGCAGCTGGTTCTGGAACATCTTAAATCCTGTCTTACCCCCACCTTAGACCCCCACCAATTTGCCTACCGCAATAACATCCATAGCGCTGCACTCTGTCCTCTCACACCTGGACAACAGTAACACTTATGACAGAATGCTGTTCATTGACTTTAGTTCAGCATTCAACACCGTCATCCCCTCCAAATGAATCTCAAAACACAGAGATCCGGGCATCACACCTCCCACCTGCAAATGGCTGCTTGACTTTCTGACCAACAGGCCCCCACATGTTCGGTTAGACCACCAGTGCTCCTCTACCATCACTCTGAACACTGGAGTACCACAAGGCTGTGTGATGAGTCCGTTCTTCTACTCCCTCTTCACCCACGACTGCAGACCTGTACATGGTTCCAACACCATTATCAAGTTTGCGGACGACACCACGGTGATTGGCCTCATCAAGAACAGTCTGAATATAGGGAGGAGGTGGATCGCCTGGCTGCGTAGTGCAACAACAACAACCTGCTGCTCAACATCAACAAAACAAAATAATTCATCATGGACTTCAGGAGGAATGCTGACACCCATCCACATCAATGGAGCCGCGGTGGAGCAAGTGACCCGCTTCGAGTTCCTGGGCATCCGCATCTCACATGACCTCACCTGGATGACCAACTGCTCTAGCCTGGTCAAGAAGGCTGACCAGCGCCTCTTTTTCCTGAGGACCCTGAAGAAAAACCACCTCTTTTTCACCTCTCATTGCGAACTAGCACTGTACCATTGAGAGCATCCTTACAAGCTGTATTACTGTTTGGTATGGGAACTGCTCTGTTGTGAACCAGAAGGCGTTGCAGAGGGTAGTGAAAACTGCACAGCGCATCACTGGAGCCTCTCTTCCTGCTACTGAGGATATCGACAGGAAGCGTTGTCTCAAGAGGGCAACAAACATTTAAAAAGACTGTTACCGCACATGGACTGATTACACTTTTGCCTTCTGGGAGGCGATTCAGGTGTCTCTGGAAAAAAACATCAAGGTTCAAGAACAGCTTCTTTCCTTCAGCTGTCTCCATTTTGAACTCTGCCCTCCGACACCCCATCACCCCTTCACCCCCTTTGTACTTGTGGCATGTGCAATGACAATAAAGTTGAATCTAATCTAATCTAATTTATGTCTCTCTTTCTCCCTCCCTATAATGTGCTGTGAGTTGAAATCCCCACACCAAAATATAAGATTCTTATCCTGTATCTTATGTATCTTGACTCTCTACCTCTACTATGCAAAATGTGTTTTGTGAATTTGGGCTATACAAATAAAATTTGATTTGATTTGATTTGAACTCCAGTTATACACAGCACTCATTCACCCTCAGTTGTTTTCTCTTGCACAATTTATTTGGCGCATGTTGTCATTGTAAATGATGAACGTTTCTTTCATCTTTTGCAGTACTTGTCTGCTCTTCTCTTCTCTTCACTGCACTTGCTTTGTTCTTGTGACATGTGCAATGACAATAAAGTTGAATCTAATCTAATCTAAAAATTATCTTTTGCCCTCAGTTCTGCAAGGTACAGAGCTGTTGGTCATTCCTCTCGTGTGCCACTGTGGTCTTTTCCTCAATTTACTGCATTGTTGAGTTTAGTTGTTGAGGTGATTACTCTGAATATGTTAGGCTTTTAGAACAGTTATTTGTGACTTTTTATTTTAACTCCACGGAGACTATATACTGTATAAAAGACACTTAAATGATTAAACAAAGAATTCCTTGTCAATTTGCTCTGATGTCATATGTTCCTTTGATGTCTTAGATTGTTTAAAATGTGTATGTATGATGTGATGACAAACAAGTGACTGTTTTTGACTTGAACAGATCTACTAGTCTCTACGTAGTGATAGCACCACCTACTGCCACAAAGACGTAAGCCTCTTTTACCACTTTAATTTGATTTAGATTCAATTTCCACCATGTGGTCTACACTTGATGGCGTGGACCGTAATGCGTGATTAGTGGGCGTAGTCCAGTGCCATGTGATGGACGCAGGAAGTGATGTGATTATATTTTGCGCGATGGACAAATCTACACAACCATTATAGCTAATTTTGAGCACCAGTAATTTGCAAAGAAAAGTGAGAAAATGCATCATAAACGAAGTAAAAAAACTAGACTGTGTGCAGTTCACATGGTTGTATTTAAATGCCACCATGCAAACATACCTTTGTCCTCACTGTGTTAGTCTTGAGCTCTTTGTTTGCTGGTTATATCTGCTGCAGATAAGTTGTGGTCCAGGCGCGATTAATAACTAACTAAACATATCAAATCATGCTGCTGCTAAATAGGCATAGGGACCAATTTTCTCCTTTAATACTGTATATGAGTTTATTTTGCAGCTGTGAGCCCTCAATGCACTGCAGCCTAAGAAAGCTCATGCAGGTAAACATAACACAAGCAAATTAAGGAAAACATCTCAACAACCACAAGCACTTAAATTGCATAAAGCACGTTGTTGCATAAACAAACTTCAAGTACCAAAGATGACATAAGTGTCAAGTTGTGTGTTCGAAAATTGAAGTATGCTTGCAGTGGCTTTCTCGTGCAATGTGTATTTGCAGCTCATGAGGAGGATGTTTCCATATTTGCTTGTCTGACATTTGAAAGGCTTGGATTTGATATGGAACAATATAACAACATTGTTTAAATTACCTTTTTGCAGTGTGAGTCTTATGTGTGTTTCTCCCTCTGAAGTATCAGTTGATGCAACTATGGAGACAGACGAGAGGCCCAAAGCCAAGATCCGCTGCCTCACCTGCAACAAGAACGTTGGTTTGATAGGTATGACACAGGCCCCAAAGAGAACTAACCCAAGCCCCCAGTAACAACATTTTAAACCACAGGCTTCATGTTTCTCAAAAGGCACTCAAGAATAATAGGATATCTGTGTGGTGTTTCACATCCATCTTCACTCATTAGAGTGGTTGAGTTGTGGTTAGTAGTCTGTTGCACCTGAAGCAATGATGTCACAGTAGACTGTGCACATATGCATCCTTGAGGGAAGGAAGGAGATAAGTTAAACCATTAGAGATAGACAAAAACAAGGTTATCTTTCTTGTTAGAAGCCATGATGCATATCAGGTTTGTTGACCCTGATTGTGACCTGACAACCATGTAGTCAGAAGGGACCACCCTGAGCTCAAGATAGTCTTGTGTCTTTAATATTAATAGAATTGTCTCATGGGCTGTAATCGTCCCGGTGGCCTGAAGTTGCCCACCCCACGGTTCCACTCTGTCTACAGCTTTTAAAATGTTAATAACTTCTTAATGGAGCATTTCCTCTTGCATGGAAGGTTGTGATTGTTTCCTAATGTTAACACTCTGTGTTGCAGGCTTTGACTGCAGATGTGGAAATGTATACTGCGGCAAACACAAATACTCAGACAGACACAATTGCACCTTTGACTACAAAGCTGATGCTTCAGCGAAGTTGAGGAAGGAAAACCCCGTAGTAGTTGGAGAGAAGATCCAAAAGATCTGATGCCAGATAAAACTGGCAATCTACTTCTTATTGTGTGTGCCCCTCTAGGGGCAATGCATTGTGGTGGGATGCAAAGGACTTTTTTTTTAGCCTTTTTCTCGATGGCTGTGCTATGACTTTTATAAGACATTTGTCAAGCAGTTTGTTCGCAATTTTTTTTTAAACTTATTTTTCCAAGGCACCTCTCCCTTTCAGTCAAACTTTTCTAACTCACTAACATGGTCACATTTCTTAACTTTATCCAATAAAAGAACCATCTCAAGGTTCAAGAATGTCCCAAAATGCCTCAAATTAAGAAATCCAACATGGTCCACCACCAGGCTGAAATCTATTTTTTTTGTACCTTGTTTAGTCAAAAAGACTAAAAAAGGTACAAACATGAATGAAATGTGCTTTTGTAAGTTTTCCTACATTGGCAATTCGATGCCATATTCAGATTTCAGATGTAATGTGAAGAAAGTGCTTGGATATTGCAAAAACTGTTGTTTTTAACTATGAATAACTACTCAGTTATTATTATTATTATTAACATTATCAGGCTAAATTTACTTACTTTGTATTTTGTTTTGAAAAAGTAACAGACTTGAAATAAATGTTCACAGGTTTTCACACATGGGGAATTTAACATCCTGTCCTTATTTAGATCAAGTGTCAATAATCAGCTTGAAACATGATATAGACAAGTATAGAGAAAAAGGTGGTCATTAGTGATAAAGAAGTTGTCAATCAAATAAGATCCAAAAGCAGGAAGATCCATTCATTGAACTATATCCCAGTAGAGGTTACAGTGACAGTTTATTCGCAGTCCTCTTCAGTTTTCTGGCAAGTGTTCCTGCATTTGCATGCATCTGTACATTCCATGTGACTCTTTCTGAATACCATAGAAAGATTACAACATTACTACAGGTACATTGGAATACATGTTACAGTTCGGGCCACAGCAGTGATGTTGGGGGCGCAGGACAGTCCATCGTTGAGGATTACGCCCAGGTTCCTTGCCGTCAACAAAGGCGATACCGTGACATCCTCGACAGTGACTGACAGGCCGGTGGGTTGGTGGAGAGGGGGAGAGGGTGAGGTAAAATGTGGAGAAGTCAATGAATTCAGAGGAGCGCAGCTTCTCTGGGGGGATGTTGAAATCACCCAGGACAACAAGCGGTGTTCCATCGTCAGAGGAGCAGCTCAGGAGTGCATCCATCTGAAATCTTCTCCGGTTTGATGTCCTGACTGGGATTGGGTAAAGTTCATGGCTACAATCAGTGGTGGACAGCGAGTTCCTTTGACATCCTTGACAGACTCCCACAGAGAGACTCCCTAAGTCTTTATTGGCCAGTCTTCGTTTGGTTGTCCTGACGCTGCAGCTGACGCTGTAGTGACTAGCTCTTATGTGCTAGATTTATGTACACAGTGGCCCCTGAACGTGTCCCGTTGAGTTGTCAATCTCCATAACTCTCTGGACTCACAGTCTGCGGTCGTGTGGCAGACCAGCTGTGGGTCGGTTGTCTGTTGTTCATACCCGCTGTGTGTCCGCCACTGGCGGCAGAGCAGCAGGTTTATCTCCTGCATTTCCTTCAATACAAGTCAGATTATGCACTGAACTAAATGTCAGGACTCTACGGTATGAAGTCCTGCATCTTCTGGTCTGTTGACAACAATCAAAGCCCTGTTAGAACAAATGAATGGATTCAGAAGTGAAACGCTGGAGTGCATTTACTTTGAAACGGGTTCAAGAAGTGTTGTAAATACGTTTGTGACATAGACACATCAACTTTGTGTTTCACTGCAGAATAAAATGATCTTTCACCTGAGTTTGAATGTTTATTCATTGATTATTGCTCAGTTGGTAGAGACATGTGACCATGTCAACGGTCACAGGCTCAAGACTGAGTGAGGGCAGATCTTTTATTTTGCTTTTTGCTGCTGCTACATATAAACATATTGAGTTCTCTCTCTCTAGTAAAGGCTGGATTTGGATTTTCAAAATAGGGTGAGCATTACAAAGCTTTCATTAAGAGTGATTAAGCATAATTTGTCATTAAGCTGAGCACATTGAAGTATTGAGGGGACCCTCAAATGTGTTATGTCTCACATTGGGAATTTTGGCACTGAGTAGAGTCAATTCGATTTGAATAAAAATAGAAGAATTCCAAAACAAAGTTCCTTACTTGAGCAGAGTCATTAAAAAAGCAACACTCATGATAAAATACTTGATTGCGAACGAGTGCACAAACTGAAGTATTTCTCAGTTTCATCATCAATCTCAAAACACAACTTTCCATTATGAACCATATGTTGGTATCTCTATTTCTTGGGATTTATAGATGTTAAAGACATATCTGGTTAGGGTCTGAGTGAAACCCTACTTGGCTATCTGCAGAAACACAGCCAAGCTGCATGAGACCTGGAATTTAGATTCTACAAGCTGCATGTCTTTAGACTGGGAGGAAACCAGAGTACCTACAGAAGACCCATGCAAATAAGGAAACTCCATACAGAAAGGCCATAGTCGTCGGGCAGGGTCGAACACAGCACCCAATCAACTCACAGCATCAATGTTTTACACACACACACACACAC